CTAAGTTTAAATACCTCAAAATAAAGCTGAGCAGACACCAGACGCCAATAGCTGTGCCTGCTCCGTGCACGCTACCAAAAGCAGCATTGTACAGGGGCTTTGTAGTGGAGGAGAGTGCAGCTCAGGTCCTTGTGGCATTGCAGACTACCACATAATGTTTAGCCAGCCCGTAATGCACTCCTGAGGGGACGACTAGTGGGCTTAAAATACAGGCCTTTAAATACCACATGGACAAAGAAAGATGAAGAAGTGACTAGGCCCCATGAATGGGGGGATGGAGAAACCCAACGGCTTATTTTGCTTAATCCTTTTGTAAACACACTCAGTGTCTGCTGAAGTCCAGCGGCAGCCCCTAGCTTCACAAGAACTGCCCGGCACAGCCGGCCTGGAGCTCCCTGGGGACAGTGGGCACCCACTCGCTGCCCGCAGCCGACGGGGCTGTGTGGGTGCAGCCTCGGCCCCAAAGTTACCCTCTGGTGAGTAATGCCCAGAGGCTGTAAGATCTTGTGGGGCACCTGAAGACATGCACTTTCTTTCTCTGGACAGGGTTTCTCTCTCCACCAAAGGCGCCTGCCCAGGAGCCAGGAACACGGGGCTCTTCAGTTGGGGCAGCCCTTGCACCTGGAAAAGCCATAGGATATTGCAGCAGTTCACGGCCAGTTTCAGACGGGTGCGGGGCTGTGCTGGTCTGTGTTACACAGGTTGCACTCACGGCTCTCAAAGGAGGCTTTCACAGCCCTGCTATCTCGCTGCTTATGGCTTGAAGTGACGCCAGTATCACCTCAGGCTATAGGGAGAAAAAGTCCATTGAACCACATTGCCTCTTTGCTAGACAAAACCCAGAAAGATGACTCACACCTGAAATGAGAGGCTTTTCCTGACAACTTCCAAACAATCACTTCATTGCATGCCTGGACATAAATCAGTGAATTTCCAAGATAATAGCTGAAGAGAGACAATTACGAATCAAAATATCTGGTGTTTCCTTTGCACACCACAGAAGCTTTCAGCAGAGCTTTGTGCACATTGCACCAGGTGGGAGAACAGTCACTGTGTGACTCTCTCATCGGCTAAAATCTGTGCCATTACAGGACAGATGAATCTCTAGTTATAACTTTGTGAAACTATAATGAAAAACACACAGACTACCAGAACACAGTAACATCCAGTGAAGGTGCAGGCGTGAAGCCCACGTGCTAAGGCAGCCACCGCTTAAATAATGATTCTGGTCAGCAGGACGCCTTTCCTGATGCTATTCCTGAGACCAGAGACCCACGACATTAGAGTCAGTGTATGAAAGCAGATCTGTCTCCCTGCTTGTTTACACAGACTCTCACATCCGTGAGCGTCAGTGATCAGTCGGAACAGTGGCTCTAAATATCCACAACCAGCACCACATCTCTCTTTCAGAGAAGTGTTTTGAAACACTCGTCCAGCCTTTTCAGCAAGGAGCTACAATTATCAGAAGGGGAATAGCAACACAAAATTAGAAAAAAGCAAGCTACAGTGGAAGGGGTAGACTACCTGAATCTTCAGCTGCATGTCAGAGATTTATCATGCTTTTAACGGAGTCTCAGCTACATTTCTGCAGGCAGAAGGCCTAGAGACTGGATATGTTTCAATGGCTGTGTACTTCTCATAGGTTTAGTCTTGGGGTAGCAACTGTAGCTATCTCAGCAATGGCAAGGCCATGTGGTGAAGAGCTGGATCACTCTAACATGCTTCTTCCCGCTTCATGCATACTTTGAACCCAACCCAGAGACATTTTTTGCTGCCTGATCCTCACTGGGTCCCTGCTAGAGAGCAGTCTTGTTTTTCTTCCCTGGCTTCTCTATAATTACAGAGCGCGAAGCCGGTAAATGGGATACAGGATTGCTGCTGGCCAATTCCCTGTGCTGAAGACGTGCAGGCAGAGGCAGGGCTGTTCTTACTGACTCTTGTGAAGGACGGTATTCAGTTCCTAAGTAAATCTATCATGGTGCAGTCGGATGATGATTCATGTGCAGTGGTGGACTGAACTGCATGCCCAAAGCTCTTACGACCACAGGCTGCCTTCCACATCACTGTCTGGGAGGTTGCTGGCCCTAAAGCAAGAACAGATGAGTAGGACACACAGCAGCCTCTGAAAAGCCACACTTTATAGTCTGGTGTACGATGTAACACAGACCATACTGCATCAGTCCAAGGCCCCTGTTCTTGGGGGGGGGCCTTCTCTCCCAACCCAGCTGCAAGCAGATACCTACAAAACAGTAAGAAAATGGCAAACATACCTGCTATTTTTCCCCTGCTAATCTTCCAGTCTTTAATATTTTCAGTTCAGGGGATTCTATGAGCTGGTTGTGGACTTTTTGGTAATTCCCACTGGCTCTGTTCCACATACTTGTCCATTTCCCCCTTGAGTCTCTGAGAAATTTTTGCATGTTTTCGCAAATGCCCTTTGAAAAGCATTCCACAGGGCTAGTGCTGCTGTATGAGGAATGACCTCCTCTGATTTGCTTTGAACTTGGCTCTTGTGATCTTTCGCTCTTTGTAGGCACCCTTACCCACCCTGTTCGATGGCTTCTAGCACGTTGCCTTTCTCTGAATCTTTTCCAGTTCTAATGTATCTGTTGGAGATGAGGCGACCAGAACTGCAAATGGTGCTCAATGTGTGGCTGAACCCTGGATTTGTACCCTACCATAATTATGTCTTCTGTTTTGGTCCCCTAATAATTGCCAGTGTTAAATTTGTTGGGGTTTTTTGACCACTGCAGGGCACTGAGCTGATGTTTTCACACTATCTGGCACAAGCTTGAGGCCTCACTCCTGCCTGGTAATGGTCAGCTCATTTTTTATAGGTGAAGCTATAATTTTTTCTAGTTACATCACTTTACAGTTATATACCTTAAATATAATTTGCTGTTGTATTGTCCTGTACTCGGTTTTGCTAGGGTCTTACGCATTTCTTCATTGTCAACTCTTACTATTGCAATATATTGAAATAAGTGCTACTAATCTTTAATGTGCTGGGCTGTAAGCTGCACTGAGTCAGGAGCTGCTAGAAGTCCTGTTCAGCATTTTCCCTCCAGGGTTAGCAACATCCAAGAGAGTCAGGGCAGGAAACTGGAGATGGTTACAACATCACTCATCTCAGCTTAATTTACTGTCAGATGTAAATCAATGACTTAATCCCACTGTGATAAAAATCTTTATGATCTCTGCAGTGGATAAAGCTGTTTGGTCAGGCCAAGTAGCCAATTTTAAACCAGTCACTATAATCCCCTTTTTCACCAAAGCATGTGATTTTGTAATCACTGAATATACTGGATCTCACCAGGAAATCATTATTCTATAACGTTAGCTGCAACACTAAATTTACTTTGGACTTTGCTAGGATACATGATGGAGTTGTTAGTTTGCTTCATTCTCACATCGCAAACTGCACTGACACGTAACATACAAAGCTAAGTTTCTTTGCGCTGTTACGTGAACAAAAAAAATTAGAGTAGCATCTTTTTCAAGAATGATGAGCAAGCATCTTTGTTTAGATGAAGACAGGAAGTCTTGTGGTTACACACCCATTTAGGAGCCACAGGACTTGGCTTGTTTCCAGTACTGAACAGATTTTTTATATTATCTTTAAGCCCCAGCTTCCCCATTCAGGAATTTTGTGAAGTTCAAGTGATTCATATTTCCTAAATTGATTTCTCTCTTCCTCCTATAACCATTTTGGCTGACTAGGCTTGTTCTTCTTCTCTTGCAACAATTAGATTTAAATATGACTCAACCTGGAAGAAATCAGTAGCACAGGATGCACTAGCTTTTACTGAGAGAATACCCCCAAGTGCATACATTTGAAGAATTAGAGTTTAATTGCGGTGTTACCGCACTGTCCACATACAAGGTCAACTTCACTTTTCTCAGCTGACACAAATCTGTTCAGAAAAGCCGGGGACTCGGCAGACAACCACTGTGATGATATTAATTTTCCTCTTGGGCAGGGATATGCAAAGCTCCTGTAAAGGCATGACTAACATGCTCTTCTCCTGGTGTGTTACAGCAGCTTCCCAAGGACCAACCGATGCGAACAAAAGAATTCATGAGACAAATACCACAAGCCTCTAGACCCCTCACTTATTCCCAGGAAACTTTGTTACTGACATACATAGTGATGAGAACCTCCTTTGCACGCCTCCTGGCACAACTACTGAAGGATATGATTCAGAGATGGCCTCTTATTGTGGACAGGATGGCATTTCTTAGCTTTCACAATAACCAGACATTGAAACATAGATGACTGTAGCAGAGCAGCCCTTTTTTTTGAATGGCAATGATAACATTTGGCACATACCTCACGTTTCCAACAAAAAGCCCTCATTGCATTACCCCAGAACAGAGTACAGCATGTGCTTCCCCTTCCTCCTGATATGCCCATTTCCCACCACACTGTGCAGTGCTGGGCAGGCGCTTGCAGTGACTTTGGGTACTGCAGGGGTGGGAATACATCTCCAAGAGGCTGTTGGCACCGTATACTCAATCCCTCCGCATCAGCAGACCTGGGTTAGTGACAAGACAGATAAAAGAATAAGGCCAAAAGTCGGCAGACACCCAGTGCAACCACTGAAGATGTCTGCTTTCAGTAGCTGAATCTGGCTGGCTTTTTTAAGGAACCAAAAATCCTGTCTAGTAGTAAACATCTTAAGTTACCACACATAAAAAAGAAAAAAAAAAACCAAACCCAAACATCAATCACCTAGCCAAGTCTTTGGGATGGAAAAATCTCGAAAGTCTAGTTGAGATGGACGCAGCACGTCTCCTGCCTGGAATACCTGGGAGCATCTGTTGGTAGCATGCCTGATCGTGTACTGCTGGTTGGACATGGGGCCAAGTCCATGGCTGTTCCCCCGCCAGCTGCGTGATCCCTGTCCTTCCTTCTGACTGCAGGAGAAGCAGGTGGTGCCTGGGTGGGACAACTGCCAGGCATTAGGAAAGATCACTTACACCTCTCTTTCATTTCCCAGGCAAGGCATACCTTGTTCCCAGGTGCGAAGCACTGATTGCGGCCAGCGTGTCCACTGCCACGCTGTGACTGTTCTCGGGAGTGTGCTACAGCACTTCACAGCAGCATGGGACCACCAAGGGGGACTGTGAAAGCCAATGAAGCAAATAAGGTGAACAGCACCAAACTTTCGGGGGGGAAGCAATTTTGGTGCAATGTTGACAACCCATACTTGAGAGCCATTCTTTGCAGCGAGGCAATGTGGGCAGGCAGAGCAGTGTTCACATATGGATTGTGTAGGTCCCGTTGGTATGCCACAGCTGAAGCACATACAATGAAGAGAGAGAGACTCGCAACTCAGTCGTGGGGCTGAAAAGGTGCATTCAGATCCTGCCACAGCTTTGACTCGCAATCTGACAGACTGCGTACATTTCAAGTTGTGGAACTCAAGCTTTTCATAGTTCAGCTTTACGAATGCTAGACAGTGTTTTTGCCACATTTCATCTATCAGATTTCTCAGTTTTACCCACTTTGCATCAGAGTAAATTAAACCCCTAGTTTTGCTGTCTTTCCTTGTTTGTAAATGGGTGATAAAGAGGTCAGCTTCAGAGAGGCCTTATGGAGAGGAGGGTGGCAATAGCTGCGAAGCGCCCTATCTGGTGAAGTCTCAAATGAAAGACAGGATGGCTGTGCCATCCTAAAGCCATTATAAAGTCTTTGAAAATTAAGATAATAACAAGGCAGGCCCATATCTTTTGCTAGCATGTGAGATTCAGAATCGCTGCTGCTGAACAGCATTTCCATGCCAGGAACCTGCACCAGCTGCTACGGCCACAGATCAGTCCTTCAGTTGATACCAAAGCATGGGTTGTGCTCCAGTTCTTGGACTCCTTCACCTCTGTATCACCAGGATTTCTTCAGCACAGTCATTAACAGCTCACACATACCTGCCACACCTTCCAGCACACGCCTCTGCATTCCTCGCCCTGCTCCAAGACATGCCTTCTTCATGGACTTGTGCTCTCGGAGCTCACGTTTGCTGTCTGTCTTATTCATATGGTCCTATGAAGTGCTGCTAAGTTGTGGTCATGATAATTTAGCCCACAGCGACCCTGTCCTTGCAAGAACAGATCAAGGGTAGATTATCCTGTCGCCTAACCAGTACTTTTTGGAAGTATTTTACAACTTACATAAAGAAAATAAGTGCTGGAAATACCTGATCTGTAGTGACAACCTCTGGACCTTACTACACACATAACACAAGCTAACGTCTGTCACTTAGTGCATTTTCGTCTGTTCTCTGATCTGTGACTGGAATCTGCAAGCTTTCTCCCAGCCTTTTCCAGCTTATAAAGCTTTTCCTACCGTCTCTTACATTTACCAAGACTCCAGTTCCCAAGTGCTGTTGATATTTCCAGCTCTCAGAGTTTCTGTGACAGAGACAGCTCTGTCTTCCAGCGGATGCGGTACCTGGTAGCTCTGATGGAACAAGCTGGGGGTCACAGCACCTCACCCTGGCGGGTACCTTGACTCTGGACCTTGGCACAGGCCAGCCGAAAAATGATCCCACCTTCCCCCCCTTCTCGCCGTTCTTCTTACGCGGCACAGCAAATCAAAACCTCAGATCAGCACAACTCCTATTGTTGCTTGATTTGCAGTCTAGAAAAAAACCAAAAATCAAGCTCCTCATTTCCATACAGCAAGTGGGAACCAGCAGTGGTTGGCAACTTTCTAGCCTTGGCCAAGGGCAAAGGAAATAGTTAATCTATCACTCCTTTGAAACACAAATCTCTCTGCTTCTTATGGGGCAAGGGAAAGAACTGAATCCTTGACAAATGTTAAAGCGCTCAGCTTAGGCTGACTTCATTTCCGATTTTTCTGTTCCAGTCTCAAATTTTATGCCTTGATTTTTAGTTTAATCCTTTATTTTTAAGGATTACCTGGTATCGACTGCTTCTCAAAACTATTCATTCTGTCTATTAATTAGACTTATTAGCTGTTTGCCTAACATGTTAACTGATTATAATTAAAACAGAATTCTGTTCTGGAAAAAGAATCTAAGGAGTGATATTTCAAGAAGAGTTCGTTAGATTTGTATGGTAGAGAAGGTATCCCCAGGGTCTGGGTGGGAAAGATGTCTCACTGATTACCCTCATTTTCTTCCAGTCACCTTTCTGCACATGCAGGTCCTGCTGACCATTAGATATGAGGGTCATGACAGGTTAAGGTATATATTTTGAGAATTTGTTTATGGTAAGTAAGACGTCGCTGACAGATTCACCTCAGCCCCTTTGCAGAAGAGCTTCGTTTAGGAGAGATGCCTGGGAAAAGGGATGGAGACACACACAGGAGCTGGAGGCTGCTCGGGCAGAGAAGCCCCTCTTGTCGTCTACGTGAAGGTTTGCAGTCCTGCTGCAGGGCAGGTGCTCTGCAAGCCTTCCCGAGGGAAGAATGACCTGGTGGTGGGAAAGGGCTTTTGTCTGGGACTGATCCCAACCCACGCCTGCTTTGAGCCTGTGGATTTCTTTTGTTGATTCACTGCAATACTGTTTTGATTTAGGAAACTGACACGCCTTGAGATGTGATATCACTTGTCTGATTACAGCAGAAACTCTTCTGACCACACACCAGTGCAAGGCTTGCCTGCTTTCACAGTTTTATTTTCTACTCTGAGCTTTGCAGTCTTACATCCACGCTATATTGGCATACACAAAACTGCACTTTAAAAGTGGCCAGTCTGTTTTCATTGAAAAAAAATCCCTCCTTCTAGGATTTTTGCTAGCATCAGTCCCCAGAACACAATCCCTAGCACAGGGAACATGTTCCCCACTGATGTGCCAGACAAAAGTTCATGGCTTTGTCTTGCTGAAAATGAATTCTTGATTATTCATGCAGTTCCCAATGAGTCACTCCACACCCTTGAATTATTTCTGACAGATGTAAAATGCCTTCTGCTGAATTCCTACTCCAAAGAGCCTTTTGCATGACCGGTTTGTCAGTGAATGCAAGCAGACTCATGATTTACAGTGCTTCATCATCATGGCATGTATAATACTAAACATGATGACTAGGCAAACCAGACCCACCTATTTTTTGCCATAGGCTCACAGCCTCCAAAATCTCCCAGCAGCCGCACAAGAGGCATTCATGCAGGGCAGGTGTGTGTGCAGGGAGACCCTATATTACCCTGTGGATCTCAACACAGCTATGCAGATGAAAGAAAATTGATCAGCTGAGGGTATATGAATTCACTCACAGGGTTGATATGGAGACTGAAGTACCAACCCAAAGGCCTATTTCTGTCACTGTTCACTTTCTTGCTTTCTCTTTGCTGCCAGGAGTGTGCTTACCGCTGGCTAAATACTCAGCTGTGGTGCAAGTCATGCATGGTCACTGTCCTTGTGTGCGAGCAGTGGAGACCAGACCTTTTCAGCTGTGAGCTAAAGCTCAGCTCTGCTCCCTCAGCCTGCCATGCTGACCTTACCTCCTTTAAGCTGGAAGTACACTCTCTGCTGTGTTTACCCACAAACACAGTTAGTGCACATCAGTACACAGTCAGGAGACACAGATAAACTTTCCTCCACAGCCTGCAGAAGACAGGTATAGGCTGTTTCCCAAAGGCTCTACGGCTTCTTTCTGGAATGGGGGATCCCCAGGCTGGCCTGAGGATTTTCACAGATCTGCTTTTTCCCACAAAGAAAAGCTCTTCTAGGGGCTCCAACATTGAGTGGACCTTCTCCAAACAAGAACCTCCTCCAAAGCAAGAAGGCAGTTGCAGTAAGGATGCCCTGAGGGGTACCGACAGCTCAGAGCTCCCCCTGTGACCCGATGCTGCTCTCGGGTGCAGCTCCACTGTGCACTGCTCCATTATGAAGCAGGAACATACCCACGGTAATTCAACTGCTAACTTTGAGATAATGCTAATGCCGTGAGGTTTAGTCTAGTCAGATGTAATCGTTATCCTGTACATGACGCTGCATGTGTCTCACAAGAAATGGTGTGATTTCTTATAAAAGGGAGCTCTGCTGAGCAGCTGAGCACTGACTGCCAGAAATGACCACGTAGAAATCCCTGTTGCCATACCTAGAGTTAGTGAAAGGGGCTGATGTGCTTTCACTGGCAGCTGCAAGCATTTCAATGACATTCCCTAGCGGATGGCCAGTTCTGGCGCAATATGAAGTCAAAGACATTACCTCTGCAATGTAAGATTTTAGGCTGGGATTCCACATTTTTCTCCTATGGAAATCTCTGTCACTGCAAAACACAACAGCAGCACCCAAAACCATGTTAAGCAGTCATTTTAGCAATTCTGAAATCTATTACTCATCTGGCTAATTAAAAAAAAAAATTCTCCCTTCTTTTTATTCACAGATGGTCATGATGATACCTTATTATGCAATAACTAATCATTTTTGTGTCAGGTTTGACTTGTTTTAGGGAGTTAAACTGAGTGTCTTGTTCAAGGAAATCTGTAATTGAGACACAAATCTCTCTGCATCTGGGCATCTGTGAAAGACTTCAAGATTTGTGCAGATGACTAAGTATATGTTTTTAAACATATATCTTACTACCTTAAAGGCATCTACACAGGATGTTACTAGAGGCTGATCTGTCATCTCTCTGTCTTGTCAGTAGGCCCACTGGATTCTGACAACTGAGTAGAGACTATTAATTAGAACTGCCAGGTTTTGTCAGACTTTTGTCATACTCCCTAGATAATTCAGTCTTACGCATTTCAAGCAGCTTCAGTGGGAACACGACCAAACCTTTTCATTTCCACCCTAAATTCTATGCCTCTCTTTCTAAGAAAGAGGATTTATTCCTGCAGTAATAACCCTTTGCATTTTTGGGGGTCAGCGTAACTCAGTGCTGTGTTAAGGAATGCCCAGGTTTGTGCTGACTCCTCTGGCTGGGAGCAGCTGTGCAAAGGTTCTGGTATTAACTTCCCACCCTCATGAAGGTTACAGTGGATAATGCCACAAGTTTTGCAGGAATAAAGAGCTTTTTTCTTGCTTTTCTAAGGAGGATCTATGCTAGAATAAGCAAACAAAAATTGGACCTGATTTCACACCCCTCTGCTCCCACAGCTATCCTCACTGGAGTCAGTAACTCTGCTCGTGTGGACGTACAACCTGGTATAATGACTCTTAGCTATTCATTCTTAAAGGAGCAGTGTTATTTTTGCATGAAACTATGACCTATTTTTTTAATTTTGCTATATATACAGATTTACTCTTTGTAGCACATCTATGAATCCTTTGTGATGCAGAGCAAATGATCAGACCTTAGAGGCATATTTAGAAAATGCCAGTTTTGTTTATTTTACATATTTATAATCGTCTCTGGCCATACTATCATTGATGATTTTCCACAGTAGCTTTCAAAGTAATGTTGGTTTGTCTGGATATTCAACATTGCTAAAAAGCACTTAAAATGTCAAATGCAAGAACAGTTGGGTTTTTTTTTTCCTCACTAATACAGCCTAATACTTATTTGAACCATGAGCCATCTCATTACAGCTTCTGAAAATCAAAGTAAAGCTAGATAATTCAGAGCATAGCACAAACATATCCTGTAAAGATACAGAAGTATCTTTCATGAATCCATAGCATGCAAACAGACAGACCTTATAATATTTTCTCATTGTAATTTCAGTACATGCTTGCTTTTGTTTCAAAGGAATTTGAAAATAAAATTGTTCGGGTTGAGAGATTGGTTTGGGATGGGATAATAACCTGTAGTCGTAATGGACAGGTCTTTTATTATGCTGCTTACTTTCTAAATTATCCTCATCAGAGCTTTTCCTTAAACATTTAGTTATCTCTGCCCCTCTCCACTCCCCAGACTTCTCTAGTCAGCAGGGACTGAACTGGGTTAGTAAGTGGGTTCTTACGGAAATACAAAAACTCTGTTGCTGGAACGGAAACAACTTTTCCTTCCCTGTAGCTATACCATAGTATTTTTATAAGTTTTTATTTTTCTGTAAGACATTTTTTTTTTAATTGTAGCTGAAGTAATACTAATAAATAATTTATATTTAAGCACAATGTGTACATATTATAATTCTGTTTATTTATTTGCTTGTAGAGCTTTTTACCCAACCTCACCGGAGGAAGGAAACTGATTTATAGAAAATCCAGAATAAGACATTGTTTCAACTGGAAAAAAATATTTGGAGGGCACACCATCATCAAGCTATAAGACTGATCCACCCAAGCTCAGCCTCAGCTGGGAGCAGGGCGCCAGGTCCCTGCCCCACTGCCTGGGGGCACGCAGCCCTTCTGCAAGGTCAGCTCAGACGAGTGGCATTTCACCACTCTTCACTCATGCAGAAGGCGGTGCAACAAAACTGGCTCTTCCGTGTGCCTCCCCTGCTTTATCCTATCCTGGAACATCCTCTGTGCACCAGTAGCAGGGAGCTCGCTCTGGCACATTTTTGGTGGAAGCTCTCTCTGCACGTTATAGTTAATATAATTAATTATATTAATTAATAGGATCACTCAGGGATCGTAATCTTTTTACATAGTATAAGTGATTGCCACCAAGGAGTCTACACCTAAATGCCCCTACCCTGAATGCTGCTGAAGGTATCCTTTGAGCACACTAGGAACCTCTGCACCCTGCTCTCAACTACCTATGCTGTAGACAACTAGAGTTAGACAAGCTAAAGTCAAGTAAATTCTACCTTTCAAGTCCAGCTTATGCTGCCCGAGCACCCAATTTTATAGGAGAAAATGAGGATATATGATTAGAGGTTAATACCAACTTCTCACTGACCTAGACTGCAATAGCAATTGTTTTGCAGGGACAGCTTGTTCCTTCCATGTATTGCTCGGAGATGGATCCTCTTCAGAAACATACTTCCTGCCCAAACAGAACAAAGGGCTATGTCACCTTTTTCAGGAGTAACCCCTGTTCAACTGGGATGCCACAGATTTGCCTCTGGGGCCAACCTAAGCTGCAACAGAGCGTGGAGAAGGCTGGTTTCAGGTAAGACAGCACGTGCAGTTTGCACACTCATGAGGTTGTTGACTGCTAGACTCCCATGTGGAAGTCATGCCAGGAATGAATGCGTTCCAAAGGGAATTCACAGGCACCTTCCACGGGGGTTCCCACGGCTGCATGGAGGCAGCTATGGAGGCAGGTAACTGGCATCTCGGACATTCAAGAGGATTTTCCCACAGCTCACCTGGATTCAGCTGGTAGCCTCTAGAGACTCCGTTGTCCATCACACTTTTTCCTCTGAGGTGTCCTCTGCAGTAACTAATGCAGTAGCCAGGTTTTCTGTTCTTGGTCGCTTCTCATGGGCCTGCCCAGGGAACAAGGGATGCAACGGTGGTGTTTTGTAAGACCACTTGCTGTTAATTTCTGCACTGCATGATGCAGTATAAGAGCTAAGTATAATTTTCAATTACAAAGTGGTGTGAATAAAAGCATCTACCAACGTCTGCATATATATGAGGTCAGTGGGTTTACATTCCTTCAGGTCAGAAAGCAGAACAAGCGTGATCTCATCCCCGTGCCAGTTTCTCCACATTACAAAGTCACCGCAAGACATAATGACACATTGTGCCTGCTCCAGGAGGATGGGACTGAGGGCTTGTCTGCACTGCTTGGAAGAACGAACTGGAAGGAACAAACACGCACAAGCAATCTCAAGGTAAGAATGCAGCGGAGAACAAGCACGCTGGTTTTCCCACAGCATGAAACAGCCAAGCTCACAGTATATACCTCCAAAAAAAATTAAATGCCTGGTCTCTACTATATTTTTACCATAGTCATTCATGCTCCTTAATAAAACCACACCGTATTTATGAGGGACTGCAAGATCTTAGTGACCACATTTGCTTGATGTTTGCCCACCTGGTGGGCAAAAGAGGTCTACCATTTTAAAGTGATATATACAATCTAGTGTCCAGCCCCGATGATCAGAGAGGGAGAGGAAAGCAGAATAGTGGGAGGCAGCTATACAAAACCTCCACAGAGAAATCGTATTTTCCCACTCCTCATTTGTTATTCTGTGTGGTAATGTATTAATTCCTTAACCAAACTCTTTTTATTATTTTTATAACCCTTACTGATATCACTCTGAATATTACTGTTATCCTTATAAATACACAATCCTTTCTGAAGAAATTTTAGCCATCCAGCTAACATGCCCTACGATTTTGAAATCAATACAGTAAATTCATCAACGGAATTGAAAATAAAATTAAGCTTTGGATGAAAGTTACTCTATATACCCCCTAAGGCTTATAGATTTGGTCTGGTCCAAGGTATAAGTACACGTCCCCAAAATGAATATCATTCTTATAGGTTTTATATGCTGCTTAGACAGGACTAGACTATTTTAGAGGCATACGTATGTGTGCAAAACTAAGTCATGGTTACAAAGGCATATCCTGGGTTAAGGAGACAAACATTGTATCCTACAGAGGTTTACATTAAGGATGGGAATTGGTATAGGTAAAGCATACCTTTAAATTTTATTCGCTTTGGCAATACCCAAAGGATCAGACTCCATCTTGCACACCTTTGCTCTCTGTAAGCAAGCTTGCTGCAACCTAATCTGTCTAGAGTGGAAACAGCCCTGCACCTAGCTCTGAGTCTGGCCAGGGTGTATCCAGCTCTGATGGGCAGCAGACTGGCAAGCTGATGTTGGCACGGAGCTTGTCCCCAGCAGTGGACTCTGCTGTGTGTACCTGTATGGACAGCCACGCTGTAATAGATAATGCAGAAATTTTTCTGCTGCAAGCACACTGTAAGGCCATCATATGCACGGGTCTGTCGGAGACAAGAGTAGGCAACAGACAAGACGGGCTGTAACACTAGCACTGTCAGGATTGAGTAGTCACACTTACTGAAATGCAAAGCCACTGGACAATGTCTTAAAGGCCTGGATGGTCTTGATTCTAGAAACAGGAATGCATCCATTCTCCTCTAATTTAACACAAAAACATTGGACTCTCCTTCAGCATGCCACGTGTGAGAGTTGAAGTTAATGTTCGTGGACAGCAAACATGCCTCTGACACCCATTTGGATCATGTTTCAATGCAAAAGGATTGTCTTCATAGAGACTGCCACTGATTATATGTTCAGGACCTGTTTTCCATGCAGAGAGATAAAGTTTCCTACTTCTTTTTTCCAAAAGCTACAGAACCTCAATATACTTGCTACCTTCGGGCCCAGCCCAATAAATCTTGCTCCTGTGAATAAGCCTTATTCATGAACATTCTCATGTCATGAGAAAAAGCTTTTAGGGAATCATGATTTTAAGTATTAATGAAAAGCTAAGCTAGATAGTACCTAGATAAGACAGTGATGAATACATGATAATCAGTTTTTTGTATTTATAGCCAGACCCTAACACCCACAAAATGACCATACATATTGAGTAACAAATAAATGAAGTCGTCAATTTCTGAAGACCTACTTGGATAACACAGTTATTCTTTTCAATGTATAAAACTTGAATAGGGCTCTGGGAATTAGCAACATAAAAGTAATGATGATGGTGATGAATTTAAAATGCTCTCCAAACAAGAAATTGAGGCAGTCTTTAGAGAGGTCTTGTGGTGAACTTGATAAATCTTTCCACAGTTTTTAATTCTGAATATTAGTTATTTCATAATCTACAGTGCTTGCTTAGCAACTGCTACAGGCTATTGAATAAACTATCATGGCAACATACGGCTTCTGCCATAGGCCAGGATCACGAAACTACATGTGGATCATTTGTCATCCTGAATCTGCCTATGCTGTTGTTATTTTATAACTGCAGATCTCAAGATGATTAACAACGCTGGATATTCATCAACCTTATTTCGAAAACGGAGTAACTGTGATGTAATGAGATGAAGAAATTAACTTGATATCATTGAATGAATTAGTGTCCATACAAGGATCAGAACACATTTCCTTATTCCTGGTGCCATTCGTAATCCACCGCACAAGAATGCCAAAACAATTTCTTATTACCATTCGCCATGTTTCAACAGACTAGGGCATCAAAGGACTAGGCATTAAATCTTCTTCACTTTTCAGGTTTTTTTTTAAGAAACTCTGTTATGACTAAAAAGAGGACTTCAGCAGCTGGAGAAAAAAGCCCACGATGTGCACTCTTTCACCATATTGTTCATCTCGCAGGTCTACCTCTCTGTTCCCTCACTCCATCCTCCTGAAGAACCGTGAGTCCAGCCAAGCATTAAGGCCTGCAGTGACATTGCTATGACAGATTTTTGCAGTTCTTGACCCTCGCAGGAACATAGCACGTAGCCAACACAGCTGTGATACCGGATTCTGCATTTGTTCCTGTTGAATTTCATGAGGGCCACTGCTCCAGCCTCAGTATTTCTGAGTGGTGGTTCTGCGCATTTTTTTGCAGTGATAATGATTCAGATTGTGGCTTATTGCAACGGGAATCCTTCAAGCACAAAGACAATGCCTTGTTTCAAGGGTGGCTTTGCTTGAGTAAGGACTGTTATTTAGCTTAGACTATCATGGCTTTTTAGGGGCTGAAATTCAGATTCTTCAAAAGCTCATACAAATTCAAGACGAGGATCATATTTACGCAGAGGTGATTTTCTCTACATATGGAAGTGTGGGTTTTGGTAGTCCTTTTAAGCTTCAGGAAGCCACTGAGGAGAATAAAATAAGAATATACAGCCATGACATTTTTATGACATCTCCTTTCTTGGGCCTTTTTGGGAGTGAATAATCAAATCTTTGGTGGGTAGTTGGCATATGGTTAAAAAATTGTGGTGGAAAATGTAAATGTAGGAAATTGAAGCAACTGATATACAAATCCAATTTTCATGGGTATCCACTGGGTACTTCTCAGGTCCTTTGTGTTACCAGAAGTCAATTTTTAGAGTCAGACTGTACACAATTTCTGTATTACTTCCACTTGATAGTGTAGTTGTTCCAGATAGATACCAGCACAATTAAGAACACTGTTCGTCTTGCATTATATTTAGTGAATTTGGAAGCATTCTTGACATCAAATTTCTTTGCCTCTGTTGTTTTCTTCTAAGCACCTACACAATGCACTATTGTATTTTTTTTAGAAACTCTGCTAATATTGATAAAATTTATGAAGGAAAACATTGCTGAATTACTCTTTTCTTCTTGTTTTAGAACCCGTGAAAGTAAGCTCATAGAACTCTAACACGCCTTTAACTTCCATGCCTTCCAAGATATTCTGATAGTTTTTCTTTGCAACACAGCATGGAAGAGATTGAGGACAAGTGCTTTCAAGTTTACTCATTATCAGAGCTGTGATGTGATCTTGTAATTCAGGTTCTGTGTCATTTGGGAAAAACTGTAGAATGCTCATCTCTGCCCCCTGCACCCACCCAGATGTGGTATCAGATTCTGATTGCTTTAATCATTAAAACTTTTTGTTATTATTTGAATTACCATACTGTCTAGATAGATTCCTTACAGACCAGAATGTTACTATGCTATACGTTACCCAGCTTTTTCTGCTCTGTATTTGTAGATCCCCGAATGGCTTAATTCACCATGTGTTATTCCCTATAAACTGTAACTTCAAAATAAAGGAAGAGGGATTGTTCTGCAGTCATGATCCTACCATCAGTGCTCTGTCATAAAGCTTTTTCTTTTACAGTTGAGTGGGCTAGTGCCAGTAACTACTGCAGAGAGGAATTCGTCCAGGCTGGAATGAGGGTCAGCAGGGACTGTGAGGGTGTGGGTTTTGATTTTAGTATTTCAGCAAGATGAGGCTGAAAGGTATTAAGTCTAATGATTTACAAAGCAAAAACAGGGTTACAAGGTTTCTAGCTACGTGCAACTGTATGAGTCATGGAAGGAAGTAATACACGTTACACATTCTACAGGGTAAAGTCATATGAACTTGTTATTTAGGGTTTCTTGGTACATAACGCAAGTCTGTCAGGTTCCTGTTACTGACTTTATTTCACGTCCCACAGCTTGTCTTTGTGAATACTGGCCAAAGCAAAATCCCAGATCTAACTACTGTTTTCAGTTACGCTGATGTAACCAAAATGCACATTCTATGCAAAATCTCTAGCAATCTGCTAGGGCGATGGAAGACTTTGGCTTGCAGTCCTCAAAGTGCTGTGCTTGAGAACTTTGATGACTGAGCACGAGACCACCAGCTCTGAGAAGCCACTGAAGCTCCATGGAAGCCAGCAGCACTGACTACCAGTGGAGAATCTTACACCTAGCTAATGCGATAGGAAAAGATATAAACAGAAAATGTGGGAGGGAACGGAAAGCATCTCCCTTCTCCTTGCACAACTTTATCTCCAGCTTTCCAAGTTTTTGCTCTACATCACCTCTGTTACAAGCAGAACCTTGTTTCCCTTCTTGTCTGACAACACACAAAGAAGTATAGGCTCAAAAATCTTTTAGTAATTTAACACTCAAAACCACTTTTCCCCCCATATCCTATGTGGTGTCAATGCATCTGCAAAAATACAGATGCAGAAACAACAGACTAGTGCAACATGTATTATACAATGCACGTATATACTCAAGATAGATAGTTCACACAATGCACTGTTTAGTGTTCGCAGTAGTAGGAAGGAGATCAAGAAATCCTAGATTTTAATTTTACTTTGGGCACTGACTTGGTCTGCAGCTTTGAGTGAATTATTTGCAATTTAGGTTTCAGTTTTATTACCTGAAAAAATTGGGAGATATTATTTATAAGCCTTGTAGAACTTCCAGGAAATTCCTCTAAAATCCACCTGTTAATTACATTTCAACAGAAGCTGAAATGTCTCTGCATACCATTCACAGAAGCAGCACTATAGAAACAGACAGTACATGATACAGAAGATATGGCTTTTTTTTTTTAAATTGGGTGTATGATGGTGTTGAAGGCCTGGTTCTGTGAAGTACACTGGAAGAAAAGTGGGTATTTTCTTAGGCATCAAGCTATAGACTAAGAAATCTGAGTATGTCAGCATTCTTGAAAAGAGTAATTTCAAATAGATTATTACGTGTATACTGTCATGCTAATTTGAACAGCATGCCTGCATGCACATTTTAACTCTAAAAAAATCTGAATCCCCTTTCTGCTACTTGCGTGTATATTGATATTGCTTAACCTTCATATTCTTATAGAGCTCACCATGAACTTTCCCACATGCTAAATCTATCATACTATATATTTACTTACCATTATAAAAGTCTTTCTTTTACCACATGAGTAAATACTGAAATATTTACACAGGTTAACTGTGATATTGGTCTACACAGAATAAAAATACAGTTCCACTGCACTGTTGTTCTGTATTTCAGCATCATACATCCACCATCATCTTTGTCTCCTCCAGTTTGTTCTGACCTATGTGTACTCGTAAAGACCTTGATGATACGATAATCTTCCAACCAGAGTAGACTATGACTGGACAGAGTCACCCCTAGTATCACCCTGGGAAGAAACTCTGATTCACTGAAGCACAATATAGCCATCAGACCAAGAATTACACCCTGTATGTCTTTCACTGAAGAGAACTGCTTGCCATAGTCACCCTCAGCCAGGGTAGAAGAGAGCAGGACCATGCTCACCACCTCCCTGTCACTGCTGGCAAGGCGAGTCCCCACGCTGAAACAGCACAAGGGCCACCCACACTCTGACAGTAACATTTTCTCATAGCCTACGTCCTTTCCTTCAGAAAACTTCCATTTATAGTTCACATCCTGTGCTCAGCTTGTTTTGCATTGGTTTACACATACCAGCATTCAATTAGCATCTCTAAATAGTGAGGACTATCGGGTAAGGGACATGCAACTTGCAGGTAAGCTTTCCCATCAAGGTGTTTGAGATGTGGAGGACCACTGCAGACCTTCTTTCAGAATTTTGTTTGATCCACTGTATAGCATTGTGCAACCTGCAATTCTGTAACAGAGAACAATATTGATTTCACTTACTGTCTCTGCCCTTTGTTATTGGCACCAAATGAGAAGAAAAAAAATCAGCTCCAACATAATTAGATGGAGAAATGTCCTAAAGCTTAAAAAAAACAGGGGATCTTTGATCTAGACAGTCCCTGATTCATAACAAGATATGTAATCGTCTGAGTGCCTCTCTGAGGGGAAAAAAGTGAGAAACTGAATGGCTTTTATACGGTCATCATAATGCAAACTGAAGGTGCTGATGCTGAAAGACTAGGAAATTCAGAAAAAAACTCTTCCTTCAACTGATCTTCTCTTTGTATGACTATATCATCTAAAAATTGTGTATAACAATGCAGAAAAAAAGCCAAAACCTCCTCTACTGGAGAGACCACAATAAAACTGCTTACAAGCTGGATTAGTCATAATGTTACATTACTGTGTGCTGTTGAAGTGAGTTACCTGTAAAGTATGAGTATCAGCCAGTACAAACAAATACTATTGTCCAAGGAGGGAAATCTACATCACTCATGGTATTCAATAATCAAACCCTGTCTGCCTACTACTTCAGTAGAGCAGATGATTTTTTTTCCATTTTCAAACATTATATAAAAAAACGAAAAAGAAAACAAATGAAAAATACAGGCCAAATTGTGCTGACCTAGAATAGGGTTATTCAAGTGGTAGAATAACTCCAAAAGCATTTTAGGACCATTCTCAAGGGAACCATGCTTATGTGAGTTGAAATTGTTATTGTCTCTAAAGAGAAAGGGAGAAAAGGTAAAAAAAAAGAAGTGAATAGACAAGTGTAAGATTTACTAATTCAGAGAGAAATAGTCCATATATTTTCACAGAGCAAATCTCCTTGGAGATATTGGATAATATGTTACGTAATAATTGCCAAATATCTCACTTTATTAGGGTGTCCCATTCTCAAATGAATGCATATTATCTTTAGAGGTTTGTGACCACAACGTTGAAGTAAAAGGAAAACTTGCAGTTCACTTCTGTTAGAGAGAGATTCACCTCTTTATTTTCTACTATTTTTCCAAACCATGTTTGGTTTTAATGTAAATGCATCTGACGCTTTTTCTAGTATTTGGAACAGTATTAAAAGAACCAGTCATAACAATTTGATGCCTGCAACTTCAGGCAGCGTTCAGAGTGATATTTAATCTCTGCGTCATCTTCTGCCAAAACCAAACCATAGCACAATGCCATAGTATGGGAAAGGCAATAAGAACCCATTATCCTCACTGCAGTTCCAGCAACTGTTATTACATGTGTTAGGTTTGAATGCTCTGGTTGCGTATTCATCTCAATTTCAGATCCAATTAAAAACTTCTTGAGAATTCCACAGGCTTTGTCACCAGTTCAGGTTTAAGCTAAATCATCAGCAGTGCCTGCACTTGACTAGCATCTTAATGAAAAAAACATGAATCTATGCATCACAGAGTGCAAAGCATTTAAAAACTGCTTCTTCATGGTAACAGACATTGCTAAAACTTGCTAAGTGCTTGCTGACACCTATTTCCAAACTGGATTTTGATGGGAATTCTGCTTGAACAAGGATTTCAAGCTTGATGACTGCATTTCATGTATGCCTGCTAGTATTAATTTCAGTTACCCAACTCTGTACATTTTTAGTAGAGAGCAATACAACTTCAAGACTTAATTCCACATGGTATTTGCACTGTTCAGTAAATATATCCACAAATAAGGACGTCATAGTGTTGCTTCTAATTCTATCACTAACTAAACAACCATATAAGAACTGCACTTTTTGATGTCACAGAACTACTTTTTTTTTTGTAGTATCAATAAATGTATTAGTTTTTCCTAACCAAAATTTGATTGTCGCTTTTTTATGGCTTTGTATGTCATGCTACAGCAAAACAGCAACTTCCTCTTTTGAAAAGGAAGGACTGCAATTAATTTTCTTATGCATCAATACAGAATTGTTACTAATAAAACTTTGTTTACTACAGCAAGGCAACCACTAAGGAAAAATATGCTCAATGACGAAGATTTGGCAAGCCAGAAACCATATTTCGTTTTCCATGTTCTCAGCACATTACTATTTACTTTTTGCAACCATTAACGTAAGGTAAATTCCATTGATATAAATAGAATATAGAATTAACAGCTGTACCTGAGACTCACTGCATGATTAAATAAAACCTTGTTAAGCAGAAGGGGAAACAACAGTTGCTTGTTAGAGTAAACTAAAAGAAAATGCCTGTCTTTTTGCAATAGAACAGCATGGTCTGACATTAACAAGCTCTGAAGGTGAATCAATGGTTTTCTTATTAGGATTACTCTCATGAGTGGGGAACAAATATTTCTTTCTAACAAATATTTTCTCCATTCTCTCATATAATGTACTTGCTGATGATCACAAAAGCCAGTGTAAAATGGACTCATATGCTCCTGTCTCGTTGACACCAGCTACAAAAGAAAGCCAGTTACCACTTTTCCAACTAGCACTTTATATACAAATCTGTTTTAGAACTACTGTAAATGCTAATGGGTGGGGAAACAGAGAGAGTACTAAATTAGGGGACTAGTTCTGGTAGTGTAAAGGTGAAATACTGTTTTCTTATGGGATACTTCTTGACAACGCTGTACCAGACAGTGCTTTTCTGCCCACCCTTTGATTGGGTTCCTGATAAAAGCCTGTTACAAGCTCTCCCTGTGACCTTCCAACTGAGCTTCTGAGATCCACAACTACTATTTTGGGAATGGCAATAGCTAACAGAAATAGGTTTTTTCCTGCATTACACACAAAAGGGAGAGCGTTAGGAACAACAGCAGTGGCAGTAACAGCAGGGCAGGTGTGTCCAGAAGGGGAAGACCCCCCGTGGTCCCCAAGTGCAACTCACCTGGACCTGTGTGTTCAAGAAGCCTCGCCTGTTGCCTAAGTAGTGCACACGTAGTGCTGGACCCATCCCAATTACGCTAACCTCATGTTTCTGATACCGCTGCTATTCTTTACTTTCTGGCCTCTGCACTGACGT